AATTAGCGATTTTCTTGCGAAAAATGAAATATTTTCAAAAACCAATTACACAGCGATTGTTACCTAATCATACCTTATCAATATACAAAATATGAAGAGATTTGATTTTTTGAGCCTTGCCAAAAAATTTCAGTTTTGTCTGGTTTTTGCGCGAAGCGGCTCTTAAAAGGCTCTGCCAAGCAATATCAAAATCAAGGCAAGATAACATATGCTCCGAAGTATTTAGGGATAAGAATACAGGATTGTTTTACTGTTTCTAGAGGATTGTTTTACTGTTTCTAGAGATCTTTAAGAAATGTAAATTAAGTTACAAGTGAATGCCTCAATGACCTTGGACTTCTTCAACAAATACGTACACATTAAAATTACACTAAACTAAAATCCGTTTTGTAAACAACTTTCAATCTACTTCAGAGAAATAATCCTGCATGAAATCATTATGTAATTGGTTTTAGAGGTAATTATAACGGAACTATCCTGCATACAATAACAGACTTGGGCGCGATTAGGAGAGTAGAGATGTAACCAGCACACATCAATAAAAAACGTTACATCGATCACTGTCCACATCAGAAATATCAGGAATATTAGCAAATCAAAAATGTATTTAGAGTGATTGCTTTACTTTCACATCATAAAACCAAACCTTTTATTTTCATGTTATTTGGTTAATAAATAAAAGTTGACGACTTTACCTCGATTTTTTCGCTCTGAACATTCCAACTTCGTATAATTGAGTCCCTGCCGGCTGAATACAGCCTCCCCGTATTGTTATCGTATTGCAGTGCGTTAATACCAGACCTGTGGCGTCTCTCTTTCTCATCGCGGATCACAAAAGATACCGAAACCTTTCTTCTGTGGACTGAATGAGAATGACTAGAAGAAGGCCTCCCGGCCGCCATCTTGGAATTGGTAGTCCACTTGTTACTAGGCTCCTCTCGGCCTGTATTGTCAGCAAAGCCCAAAGTCATTTGCGTCAATTTTGAAWTTTGAAAATATGGATGAATGAGAKGGATAAATGGACAGATGGATGGATGAACACTTTCATTTGAAATGAATTATCGAATGGATAAATGGATGAATGAATAAATTCAGAGGTGAATGGAAAACTTTATAAATTGATTTGTACATCGTTTCGACTTCATAACCTCTTTTCCTTCGTACAATTTTCGAAGTGATTCTCAAATGGAAGGGAAAGGATACTTTAAAGAATAAATCAAAACGCACGTTTCGTCACTCGTCACTGCTCAATATATTCCCGGGCCAATACTGTTAAAGATGATTACGTCAAAAGTCTACAGCGTTGAAAAGGAGATAAAGATTTTAATATAATTTCGTAAATTCTGCCCTGTAGTCTCACGTACAGCAAAACTCAAATTTTTAACATTTTTTTTGGACTTATCATGTAAAGCCTCTCACAGCTCCAGTCGCAGCATTATTCGATCTTATTCCCGTTCCATGATCCAGGATCAAGATGATTTTTTCGGTAAATATACTTGCATCCAGCGATACAGACTCGCCGAGGCCAGTAATATGAGAAATATAGGTCAACTTGTGCTTACGTAGATGTTCCCATGACAACTGATTGTTTATAGTTGAGTTACTGACACTAATGCACGTTTGATGGACTTCGATGCGTAGGTGAGGGATGGGGTGGGGACTTGGTAATACAAGCCATGGACGCCGATGGACAGATGGACAACCTGATCGATATTCATAAACATTTGATCAGAAAACAAACAGATATTCCTTTTGGTCTTACGCAGCCAGACGGTTTTATTTGAGAGCTAATAATCAAAATGCACGTTGAAATTTAATCTTGCCAGATACCGCTGACAGAGTGCTCTGTGTGAGAAAAATGGAACTCGCAGTTCTCAGAAAAGTGCAAACGATAGAGTGTTTTGAAAATCCTCCTATTAACAAAGCAAAATAATGTACAACAACTGTACAGCGACGAAAGAAGGACGACTTTTTCCCTGTTACTTGCTGGAAAACATGCGCAGAAGCGCATTGAAGTCATAAAAGCGAGAAAATTCGCCTATGCCTCTGGTATCCTGTGGAACGACTTCGACTTCATAAGAACTCAAAGRCTCCGATTTGGAAAAATTAAGTCGTAACTGCAATCGACGATGGAACCGTCAAGACCTCCATGAGCCTGTCCAGCTAACAGCGGGATGGACAGCCTGCTCTATCAAAGCGAGTCAGTACAATAGTGAATAAAATGACTGTTGAACAACATGAAAGGCGTTCGCCAGTTTTCGCTTAGGACACTTGCTATCATGTTGATGTCTTATGCCGCACGCTTGTGGCTTCATTTCCTTCTGTTTTCTTTGTTCTCAGCATGTGCTTACTTAAGACGAAGCAGTATATCATAAACAAGGAGAAGCATCCTCTTTTTTCTTCCGTTTTGATCCCTTTCCCCTTTCAACCACAAAAGCTGTTGTTTTGACAAGAAACAGACTGTACCCTAGAGATTTTCTCGGTGCACTGATTTCTGCTCTCTGGATTTTAATTTACGTCACTTAAAAAAGTGATTTTTTATCTATAGACTGATTTCTGCTCGGTTGTTTTTGATTTACGTCACTCAGGCTATTGAATAGTGAACCCTGGCCAACAACTTATAGCGGTATAGAGGCGTGAATCAGCTTTAACCACCCTTCGCTACGTGCACTAATGCAAACTGAACGTGAAAACACTCAAGCATTTTGTTTGTCTTAATAATTTCTTAGCCATCTGAAGTGATTTGAAGGGCAAAGTTTCAATTTAAGTTCGAGTTAGAGCTACTAGCAATAAACTTAGCCTAGCGTGCTTAGCTAAATCTTTACCATTAAAGTCTAGGGGTACTCATAATCAAGCAGCATTCGTCAAGTGTATCTGCATGGCACTTGCAGACTCTACAAAAAACTAAGCACGCYGCGAAACGGTCGTTCGCAAAAGTTTTGAAGTGATAATACACATTGACCTTTAAATCGTTATAGGATTAGTTTCCATACACACAGGTCTTACGCGACCTTGTCTAACCTTCATTGTAATTGAGCTTGWGATTTGATGCTCGGTATCTGACGCAGGCTTTGCCGCGGGTAATAGTTGTGAGCCTAACTTTTGCCTGCAATCATCGCACTCACCATACCCTAAGTCATCCTTACAAGTTGTAGGAATATTTAAAACATGTTGTAAAGACGACTTCGGCAATGTTTGCAAAARATAAAGTAAAAATAAAATAGAGTACCAACACTAAACATAAGTACGGCTAATCTATTCTAGACAAGTATTTTTCTGTTAGTACTATACATATATAATTTTAGTCATTACATCCTGCCATCACAAACATCTCGATACTATCACACGAGAGAGTGTTCATTATTGAAAGTATACTGCTTAGTAATAACTTGCAGCAAAGGGGTTCACAGAATCACGTGTTTAAGAAGACAATATGAAGTACATATACTAACGTTGCCTGTTACAAGAAATTGACCTTTAAACCATCAGGCGAGTGTACATTTGAAAAAAAAAAATACTCTGCCTGAGATTGATCCCTTGTTCAGCAAATCATGAAAGGATGGACCATATTTGCAGTCATTCACTACAATACTCCATTTTCGAATTCTCTTTTTTGCAAGAATTGATTCAATCAAGCATAAATTTTTGTCTTTTTTGTACACAGTTTGCATTACAGTAGGATCTCTGCTGAATAAAAGAATATATTACATGCTTTCGAGGTTAAGACTGCACAAATAAGATCTCGAAAATGGAGTATAAGCTAACAACAGGAATCGCAGCTTAACCTTGTGTACTTTAGCAATTTTTCGCAGTAGATTGCACAGTCACATGACCGCGACAATAGCTTAAAAAAATCCTTAATGAAACCATAATTGCTAGTAACAGAAACGTTTTATTCAATGGCTATCAAGTGGCTATAGCTCACCCATAACAATGTAAACTCAGTAATAGACAATCGAAGAGTACCAACGAAACGCGCAAATAGAAACATCATCTTGAAGTTAATGCAGTTAAGAACGGCTGAATGTTCTAGAGTAAACTAGGGGTATTCCTTTAAATGCAGGAGGACGAACAGTTAATRCAAATCGATTGAGCCCACCGAGAGCCAAACCAGCTGGCAAAAATGACGCGAAACATTTGTAGGAAATGACACCAACACAGGGCTATTACCAAAAGCCTGTTTTAAACTTCCGAACATGTCTAGCGGCGTTTTATAAATTCCGTTTAGTCATTTGAAGGTTTAAATTCCGAGAAAATCAAGGACAGGAACTCTATATATTTGATATTGTCCATTACTGCCATTCGTTTATTTTTTATATTATTTGTATCATCCCCACATGACCTACATCTCTAATTCTCTTTTGAAAAAGAATCTAACCAACTGGTTAATAAACCAATGTAATTTCTCAACAACAAACCGTCGGAATTTTCCGGATTCTTCTTTAGTGACGGCAGATTAAGAACACATGTTAACTGATGATTGCATAATCGTGAAACGGTATRAAAATCTTGTAAAATCATTAGAATTGGCCAATGTTGTAATCAGAATGCTGACCCGATATTTATGGTTGCACGTGACTTGGGTTGTACTCTGGATATTAGAAAAGACACGATATTTAATACTCTAAAATATCTTTATTAGTAYTATTTACATTATTAGTTATATAAATAGTTCTTTTGTTGCTTTATCTTGTGTTTTATGGTCTTGAAGTCGATTTAGTGTCTTTTGTCGGTTCTCGGTCTATACATAGTTATATGGTCTATAGAAACCCTGAGAACTGCCGTGTGTAACCTCTGAAKACACACAATAGAACTGGCCGATAGGAAATGACCTTTGCACTACTCAATTTACAGATTCTTTTGCAACTAAATACTTGACTATTCAATAAATAATAAGACTCTTGAGGAATTGAAATTTATACCAAGTTCATAAATACTTTGCACTCGAGTAATACGGTAAACAATTCACGTTTCCTTGATTGCTTTTAATTCAAGTCCCTYGTTTTTCGCGGCAAAGATCTTCAAGCTTCTTCCAAAAGTTATTTCTGCTCTCTTTTTTTGTTTGATTTTCGTTCAGTTTTTTCCTTTTTTTCACCTTGCCAATTCGAAGCAAGCAATGCGGTCTGATTCAGTATAAACTTTTTCTGTTTCAACTTTGCTGAGCTGGCATCGATCGACTAACAAAAAAGAGTCACGGCAAGAAATGTTTTTCTTCACGAACGGCTCACAACGTAAATTCAACCAATAATTCCCTGGCTTTGGAAAAATGGAGAATTCTTGAGCATTCCTCGTAGCAGTGCAAACAGAAAGAAACATCCCAACACAACAATCATAATACACAGCTCAAACACCCACTCTTGAACCGAGTACAACCGAAGCACGCGATCTTGACGAGCGTAGAGAGGAGTTACAACATTTCTTTGAGCTTGTGTGATTCCTCCATTTCTTTGCGATAATTTCGTAGACCTATCCTGAGAACCCTGTGCATTCATGTTGTAAATATTTCAAGGTTTCTATTTCACACGGTAGMTGCTGCTGTGTACTGAACGACTTTGTTTTTTAAGACCTCGCAGCCGTCTTTTATACACGCCGGCTGTCATTCAAGCCGCAGTGGTTTTCCCCTATACTTCCGGTTGTCAAGGCATTTACGTCACTTCCTTCGTCACGAAACGTGGGAAAAAAACATTGATCAAGTCAACTGTATTAAAGCAAAAGAAGCTAAACTGTCGAAATCTACTTTGAATTCGTTTTTAAACTTTTCATTTACAACGCTATGCTGCATATATTAATCAAAAACAACCTGACAATTAACCGACATAAAAATATCATGAATGGACATTCAGCTGTCAAAACCGTGACATTTCCGTATGTGACATTTCCGTAGTACTTCCGTGACGCCTGCGTGACGATTATAGTGCCGTCAATCGTGGGCGATATCGTTTATTACTTCACTAATTGGTGTGGGTTTATTTTGGTTAACGGCGATTTATACAAATAATGATAACTGGTCTTTAACAAAGGGAGGCTTGTTTCCGTTATCTGCTGGATGTCCAGGAAGCGAGCAGGAAGAGGATGTCCTAGTCCAGGAAGGGCGGAGACGTGATATTCTCTGAGGTATACTTAGTYTCAGACTTTCMCAAAATCCCTTTTAGTCCCCCGGCTCGCTTAATCTTTTTCAAATTTTCTCGAAGTTTCCTTTATTTTTTATACCATCATTTTACCTGGTATTTCGAGACATAATATCATCATTTTACCTGGTATTTCGAGATATAATATCATCATTTTACCTGGTATTTCGAGATATAATATCATCATTTTACCTGGTATTTCGAGACAATTTGCCTGAAGACTGCTTAAAGCGTCGTCTATTTATATTATCGATTCTTATGACTGATTTATATCACTGTTAAATGCACAGCTGCCGTTATTTCTAAAGAGAGAGAATGAAGTGCCGGTACGAAGGCTACCAGCTACCAGCTGCCAACAATTAGTAAAAATCTTGAAAAGTACCAATAGTTAATAAAGATCGCCTTTCATTAGGTGACTTTAGGCAAAATATTCACTACTACGCCTCGCTTGCAAACCAGCAAAGGTTACCACCTCAAGCACGCGGCAATTGAAATTAAATACACAAGTTCTGTGCAGAGATGCACCCCGAGATGGCAGCGTTTCAAGTGTTTTGTCGAACTCATTGACAGGTCGTAAACGAGTAGGTATATCTCTATTAATCCTATAGATATCAACGTGTTAACAAGCTGGCGGCTTTGCAGGCGGCACGTACTGGATTACACGGCTGTTGATAGCTTGATTTTACTTCTCTTGTTTCTACTTCTGTCTTTTTTCACATCAACATCAAGTGTTTCGTCTTGCAATTCATCTCTGTTAATTGTTGCTCATTCTTCCTTCTCTTTTTCTTCTTCTCCATTTTTGTGTAGACTCCTTGCACTTCACGAGAGAAAATAAAATGTACTTTACTTTGAATTACAAAAAAAATAAATATTAGATAATTATTAATGGCAATAATTCACAACAACTGTTTTCATGAATTGTTCTGGTTCAGGGTGATATCTACTATTAGTATAAACATACTTCTAATGGTCTATCACTCATACTGCGCTGTGATTGGCTACTCTACTAATGGTCTAATTTGTGATAGACCACTCGCGGGAAAATCAAAATAAATAAATTATAAATTATTTTAAGRATATTTCAATTTGTTTTCATTATTTGACCGATTAGTATGTTTACACTAAAACAATTAGACCTCTTGACTTCGTGGACTACGTGGCTATTAGCTCGTAGTCCACTCGACCTCGAGGTGTAATTGTTAATTTGATACTAATATAGTCAGTAAATAAAAACGAATAGTTACTACTTCTTTGACTCTACTGTTGATTTTTAGCAGGGTAATTATTAACTGAGCAATAATTCATACAACAATGRTGGGAACTAGAGGTAAACTTTACTCTGACGAAGGATTAACGTCCAGCGAAACGTCAGTTATTTCACCTACTTTTTTACTGTAATGAAGTTAATTTCAACTTTATACTTTTTTACTGTTTTAAATTTATCTTTTTACACAGCCATAGAAACAATGTACAATTAGTCTTGAYTGAAATACAATTCCATATTCAACCGTTGTCCATGATCATTGTCATGATTACCGTCGATTATTGAGCAGGGAAAAAACACATGACTTTCAATAATCCATTAACTAATATTMTACTATAGAATCTTGCTGTTCATGTCAATAAAACCTTTTTTTGTCCCTTGGTGAGGTTTCTTTGACGTCACATACAAGAATTTTGTGGGTAAGTATATTTTAGGCAAAAATTTCCTCTTCCGTTWAAGCAAACGTAAGCGMGAGAARAAAACATGCAGTYAATGGTGCACACAGGTCAAAGTCTTCAAGCGTCCCGCGTGSGTTTTCTGCTCGCTAAACTTAAATAGCAATCAAAGTCATGGCTACTGAAGCTTTAATGTAAAAGAAAGAATTTCGCTCTGGTGGTCTCAARTGGGTAATCGATTGTCCAGGAAGTCAAAATCGGGTCAAAATCTCCGGTCTTGTCATCTATGTTTATGGAATAATACGTAAAATTTCGTTTTCCTTCACACTACAGGCGCTCAAATTAATAAATATTAATCAAGCAATATTAATTAATCAATATTAATTGATAACAGGGACTGAATGGGGTTAACCGACTAGCGACAAATGGACAAAATAACAACTCACTAGAGACAAATTTGAACCAAATTTGCTGACTACCGACAAAAACATATTTACTGACTGGCGACATTTTCACAAAGTTTTTGTATTTTTCAAGCAACTACATTCGAGTTTTTTCCGTCGAAAAATAAATTTTGCTTCGGATCGGCTTCTTGAAGTTTTGATTGGCCCCTCTAAAACTCAACATTCAAGGCGGGAAATTGTTGGCGGGAAATGGTTGGCGGGAAATGGTTGGCGGGAAATGGTTGGCGGGATGGACGTTGCGTTCACCCAGTTGTTAGATGCATTCAACTTTTTTTTTTAAATCGACTACCGATATTGAAATCTTGAATTTATAGTTAACCATTTTCACTGCTATGCAACCGCTCATAGCTGAGCTTGGTTAAGTTATGGGAGAAATTGAGAGGCTCGGAGCGGACTGCGAAGGAGAGTTTGCTAGGATCAACACGTGCTGATGTAATACGTCGCCAAAGGGGAGGTAGGTGGGGTCGGAACATATTCGCCCTGGTTCGGTATATTGAAAGAAGCCGTGAATTCGAATGTTTACAGGTTAAATGTGCTGAGAGGGAAAACGATGTTTAGTTTAATTCACGCCTGCAATTCGCGGTATTAAAAGCAATGAAAATACTTCAGTCACGTTCACCGGAATACTTATCAGCACTTCACCCCTTAGAATTGCAATGAATGTCACGCAAACTGGCTGATCGTGTGCGTGTGATGCTATTACAAATATGACTACTAATAAACCTTCGGTTACATATGATAAACATCACCAAAAACACAACCCAACATTGTTGAGGGACCCAATATCACTGTTGGATGATAACACAAATTCTTGGATGACCAAATAAAAAAATAATGGGATGCATGGTCGTTTAAAAAGTTTGAAGTACTTCACACTACATAACATAATGGATAAAATTCTTGGCTAGATGAATAGCTTTAAACACAAATCACAATCAAGAAAGAGRGCAAAGAAAATGTTGGATGCTTTTTGACGAACTTTTGGAAACTCCATCCAACAAGTTTAGAGCACCCAAAGAACGTTCATTAACACCAATTACAATTACAAACAAGGTCAACAAACTGCAAAATCAGTTAGTTCGCAAGACAATGTTAAGGCCGTCTAGACCTGTGACTTTTCAGAGGTTCTCGCGTCGTCTTCGCGCGACCATCGCCTGAGTTTCGAACATGCTTGAAAATTGGCTGCAACTTGGCGGCGATTTTCCATCCATTCCATTTTTGAGTTGCGCGATACTAAAGTGGCGGTTATTGCGCTGCCAAAAATCGCAAGTGTAGACGGCCCTTAAGATATATGTAGATTATCCAACATTCCTCTCGCTGAAAATGTCACGACGTGCTCTTCTTAAGTCACGCGAACTGGTATTGGTCACGAAAAGCACACATGATTTAGGAATGTCACGAGAACGGTGGTTAATAGTACATCACGAGGGTCACGCAAAGAGGGCGTGATAATGCTTTACAAGCAGYTTGACACGCAAAGAGGTCGTGATGATATTTTGGGAATATCACGCAAACGTTCCGTGGTAGGTTTCGCAGAAATGTGTGTAACGCTAAGTTTAGGTACAGGAATACTATGCACTTATTGACCGAGTGGGAGGGCCGTACGGGAAAATATTTGGCTCGAGGTTATGCCGTACGGAACGAGCGCAGCGAGGTCTGTATAATGACCGAGAGCCAAACATTTTCCCGTACGGCCCGACCTAACTCAGTAAATAAGCATTTTATCATATGAGAGCGTTTTTTAATGTAAAAAAAGTAAATAATAGCGCGCTGAACTCACCGGGAAAATACGGGTTTGTACGGCCCTGTCGCGAAAAGGAGTACGGCCCCCATCACGTGATCATTTCCCAAAGGTTTTTTAAGAGCGCGCGTAGGGCCGAAATACGGGTCACATGATATAAACCAACTTTGATTAATGTTAAGATGGCAGGAAAGCACAGAATGATGAGTTGATCTTTTTTTTATTAAAAAGTTTAATTAGCTTAACATTAAAAAAGGGAATATTCCCATTAAATCCCAACAAATGACTTKCCAACATGGACATGCGAAATGTCATTACTGCTATGACGTCATGGCAAAACTTCAAAACTTTTGAACTGCTAATGTTTGGCCAGGTGTAAGTATTAGACTGCATTCAACTCTATGCAATTATAGTAAACTTACTGGATCACTGAGGTAAAATACTGTAAAATATACAGGTGGAATACAGAATGGCTTTAGTGCATTAATTTCTACCTCAAAAATAAGAAATAAGATAACAAACAAATAAACAAACAAAAAGAAAGAAAGAATGCATTTCAATGCTCTGCGACATGTTAAAAACTACTTGTCATTCGCTAATGTGGCGTCTTTTCGACGATTGCCTGAGTACTTTAAGATTTAATTAAAAATGTGAATTACTTGAGTTTAGAGAAGTGGCAGTGCATCCTTTGAAAAATGACTCATCGACTGCCCCACGTTAAACATCTTTTGTGTGTGCTTTCGTTTCTTTATTTTGTCTTTTTTTCAAATTATCTTTCCTAATTTTCAGATTATGTTTTCTATCTTGTAATATTACATTTATTGTAAGGTTAGTGATTTTCAGAAGATTATTTATTTATTAAAACAAATCCTTTGTTCTCTAATAATTATTTTATCTACAGAAATTGGAGTTAKTATATGAACAGACCTTTGACAGACRGCAATTCTGCGATAAAATGAATGGATGAATGGAAGTGAAAGAAAAAAAATTAGAAAAAAAGTACGGATTGAAAACACGAAAGGTAAAAGTTAATAAACATAATGAAAAAAAGTAAGATTAATAAAGTCTCAATTTATAATATTGCGTTGACAAGCATTACATATTAAGTCAATGTAAACTTAGTTCATTTTGAATTTTGCTTATCCAACGTTCAAACAATCAATCACAATTACTTCTACAAAAACTCATGACGCTAATATTACCTCACAACCTTTGATGATTAATCTGAGTTCTCTATATTATTAAAGTTTGTCWCTTTTGAACGTGCAGCTTCCAACAGCGTAAAGGAAGGCGAGTTTGGAAACATGRCCTGGTTTATATGCTTCGCTGTAATTTCTACATTTTGGACTATGACTTCGCAAGAAACCGGTATGAAAATACCTTTAAAACCATAACGTTAAGTTTTCCATTATTGTTGATAACTTCTTCATATTTTAAACGGCATTTAAAATACATTTGCTTTTTTGGAGATAAAACTAAGGGAGGGTAACCAATGTAAACTTTAGAATTAAAATGTTATCACCAAAAGAGAGTAAAACTTGTTTTATTGTGAAATGCTTTGCAGAGAACAAGTTTTTAATATAATTTCTGTTTACAGCTTTCCTCTTTACAGCTTTCCTCTTTAAAACATTCAAAAGTAATACATACATATATTCTTCCTACATCAGAAAACTATTATATTTGTTGTTTTGATTAAGACGAATTACATTTCCCTGACGTTTTTCCTAAATTTGTTTTTTTTTTCTTTGAACCGCTTTTTTCAATTAAATGATTTTTTCCTTTGAAAGTTAATTTTAATTTAGACCGGAAAAGTTTCTGTTGAACCAGCTGTTACCAGCCTATGTACTAGCTGTTCCTAGCCATTGGGTTGTTGKAGKWCAATTATGATTGAAACTGAAYTATTGGAGATTTTACGATCCGTCCAGAAGACGTTATAGGGTCTGGATGGCTTACACGAGGATACATATAAGCATTAACACAAGCAAATAATAGGTTTAAGGATAAATATGACTCATGAAGGCAACATTTCAGTTAACAAATAGAACACACAAAGCCACAAATAGCAAGGCTAATCTAGGCGGGTTTAGTGTAATATACGTAGAACTATATAGCTATATTATTGACAATTTCAAAATCCCATTTTAAATATTCACACATAMAAAAAATAAAATAAAATAAGGAAGGAAAAAGACATTATAATATTGTTTAACTGACAAATGAAATTAGGTGGAGAAATTGCATTTGGCAATTCTTTAGAAAATGACCTTATGATTGTTATTAAGCTTGTCACCGATCTCTTCAGCCGCACAATGAATTTTATTCCCAATCAATCGACGTACGAACCAATCAGCCAACCATCCAATCAAACGATCAACCAACCAACCAGCAAACCAACCAACCAACCAACCAACCAACCAGCCACCCAACCATAGATTATCTCATCAATTCGACCAACCACCATAAACCGACCAACCACAAAACCAATTAAATAATAAACGCCTAATCATATAATCAACCTTCCAATACAGAAGCCAGTTGACTTAGCTTATTGCCAATCCAAAAAACAAACAAACACACTACTGAGCCATGCTGAGCCAACATATTTTTCTCGCTGTTAGATATTACAGCATTGTTAAAGAACGTAACCAAGAAGTTCGACATTCTGGAAAACACAAACGCAACGAGTAAGACAATTTAATAATTATCCAATTTAATGATACACTTTCCATCTTATGTTGTAGTTAATAGGACCATTTAAATCAAAGCATTTCCTAGCGTGCGTGTATCACTGTAGCAGTCTCCTTCACGGTTACCTGCGCCATCTTGGAAGGTAGCCGTGCCTTTGCGCGTTGAGCGTGAAATGATACAATTGATGATACAGTTAATTTCGTATGAGTGGGAAACGGACGGTACTGTACTGTGACCGTAAYCGTACTGTAACCAAATTCTAGTGCCCCATTGGTTCACCAAAATTGTGCAGGCCAGGTCCGGTAACTGTGCGGTAACCGTGCGGCAAGTCCGGCAACGGTGTCCCACTCATACAAACTTGACTCTAGATACCTGTAAGTGTGAAAGAAGTTTTCTATCATTGCACGCTCAACGGTTGTCTTGCTTCGATGCAAAGGCACGGCTACCTTTCCAGATGGCGCAGGTAACCATGAAGGAGACTATTGTCGTTAATTCTTAATACTATAATTTTAAACCGCATTTTCAATTTGAAAGTCGAGAACTTCAAAAGACTCAAAGGACAAGCTGCTATAGGATTCTCTTTGGACCTGGATTCAAGAGGGAAAACCATTCTAACAGTCACTGATGACTGGGCCCTGACATTGAAAGCTCCGTTGGACAGAGAGGTGAGAAGTGCTTGTTGTTATTCTGATTTTGAAGATAAATGGACCGTCACTATCAAGCAGTCCACAGTATAATGCTTGGAAAAAGTTCCCAAAGAAATCAGGATTGAACAGGATTGTAAAATATATGACGGCTTATGGAGTTCACTAAGGGTGGTGCCACATCGATGAGATTCTATTGGTAAGAGTCTGCAACAGGTGATGGTGACAAATGTTTTGATTACTTATCAAATCTCAGTCAATGAAAGTGGTAAAATGGTATCACGATGTTGTTGAAACTCAAATTCGGTTACAGAGATTGATTCTAGTGAACTAAGAAGTGTCATGCGGGACCGCGATGAGTAGCCTGCTATTGCTCTTGAAGTCTCGACTTAAAAGCAAAAAATGATGATGATGATGATGACAACAACAGCAACAACAACAACAACAGCAACAACAACAACAACAACAACAACAACAGCAGCAGCAACAACAATAACAACAGCAACAACAACAACAACAACAGCAACAACAACAACAACAACAGCAGCAGTAATAACAACAATAACAATGATGATATTAATATTGATTTTGCAGAAGCAACAGTTTCACAACTTTACAGTTCGCTTCGCAAAAACTGGAGTGATAAAGGTTTGTGGGATTCAAGCGCAAAACAAATGATCGCCGGATTGTTAAAGAAAGCGCAGTTGAACGTTAGAATTTAAATCTTCTTCCCCGCGAACTAGCACCGCCCATTTTGACATCTTTGATAATAAACTGAAGGTGAATTTATTTTCTAGAAAATATAACTTGCTCTAAAAATAGATTATGAGCCATTTAAAAGATTGATCTTTAAAAAATCAT